TAAAGAAGGAATGGGAAAAACTTGATCCTTCTGTTTTTGAAGATGTTATTTCCTCAATGCCAAGAAGAATTGAAGCAATATTTGAGTCAAATGGAGGGTCAATTAAATATTAATTAAATAAAATAAATCGGAAAAGTGTTAAAATTTTTATGTTAATTTGAATCGGGCGTTACTTTTTGGGGGTACTATACATATATTGTCATTAGGATGTGCTTTCGGAATTTTTGGTAAATTTTTTCTTATGTTTCAAAATATCGACTATTAGATCTCATAAACTTGGATTTTCCAATATTTGATCATACACATTCTGTCAAGGGGCAGAAGAAATTCACAAGAAAGCAAAAAAATTCAGATTATTTGCAATGCTATGATCGTTCAAATTTCTTAGAACTAGGATCGAAGAAGTATTTCTCTAAAAAAAATAGTCGTTCCTTTATGTCGATTCAATCGACTAAAATGAGTTTAATGAATTTATGTGATAACTAATACATAATACATAATAGGAGCTACAGGGTTTCGAAACCTATCAAATAACATAAATCCTAAACTAAACACGAATAACTCAATACGTAATGGCAAATTTTTGCTATATTTTATAAGACTGGCTCTTGTGGGTACGGTGGATAAGGACGTGGATCACAATAACACGGAAACCGAATACATACACATTCTGGTGGTTGTTTGACAGAAGGAGCCGATTCAACAAGGTTGAATGCGAAAATAGTGAATAAAAGTGCGAGAGTGAAAAGGCTAATGAACCTTGCTGTCGCCATGTTTAGTTCGTTTCGTTTCGTTTTTGATTGGTAAAGAAAATAGATGGTTTGGATTTCTTGAATTTGCTTTTTATTTCAGTAGTTTCTTCACTTCTCTAACTACCGTATTTATACTTATTTCGAATTTCTCCACAATCCAATCAAATGTAGACGCCGCCGCCTGCACGTGTGATTCTTTAATAGCTATATATAGAAGTGAAGATAGGTTGTGTAACAGATAGCCTTAATTCACAATGGAATCTTCATAGCCCTCCATAATGATAAGGGACAATAGTTTTTCCGGAACTTAATTGATACGCACATACTTTGATTACTCCAAATGGAATCTTTTGATTATCGTTATCGTTATGAGATCTTGAAAAATCTAAAATTTGAGTGCTATAACTTTGCATTCAATTAAAGCAAATAATTGTATCAATTAACTGTGTGATAATTAATAATTAATACTTAATAAACTAAGACCCGTACTTGGTAAAGAATAAGTACGTGTACGTATATGATAATAACTACAATAGAAAGTTCATTTACTGTAATACAGTATTAAAAAAGGGAATACGTATGCGCATAATGACGATTATGAAATCATCTATTGCTATTATTAGAACGTATTTTTCGTAGTCGTTCAATAAACCAATTTTAGTATAAATAAAATAAACAAATAAAAAATTTCCATCATAGAGAAAATTGAGGAGGGCATTTAAGCATATAACCAGATAAAAGCGTTGGATTACTATTCGTTGTTCACTACCGCTACGTATAGTTAAAAGGATGTGCATAAGAAATCGAGATTAGATAGTGCGAGAGAGTTGATTTTTTGTACATGTAATATATTTTTTGACTACCATCTATTTATTGCATCACAAGAAATTTATAAAAAATTCTAGCACCCCCAAATACTGATTGTTTCTACGCTTGTTTGAAAATTCGAAATCTAAAATATTTTACAATTAGTAGATTTTTGACAGGAATAACTTTTCAACTATAATTTGGCTACTACAGTGGCAAGCAATTCAAATTTTTAAAATTATATACTTCAATAAATCCATAATAACGTTAACGTTAATAAATAACACATTAATACGTGGTATCATTTTTATTTCTCGTCTAATTAATTATACGTTATAAATCATATAGTATACAAGTAATTTTGTATACTATATGATTGACTCAGAAAGTTTTTTAAATTAGGATTTCAGATATTTTGAACTTATAAATAGAAATTGATAAAAAGTAATGGTTAAATAATAAAAATATATGCATAGTACGTACAAAGAAGTTGTTAAACAATAAAAATCGCTTTTGGTCGTTGTGCTTTAACGTTAACTCTAAATCGTTAATATTGTTTTAATGATTACCTTCAGGACCACATTTTTAGACTAAAAAGATTAATGGATTAAAGAAATCAACATAAACCAATATTTTATGTAATTTACCTTCGTTTGGAACATACAATCAGATTCATCACTGATATCTATGTGAAATTCAGTAGTCACATATGTTAGGATTGTTTGCAAACAAGTATTTTAATAGATTGATTTGCTGATATAGTATTTACTGATCGATATGAAATAGCGGTTTTACATGTAGAGCCTAGTGTTACCGAAGTATAACAAAATTCGTTGATCTTGTAATTTCCGAAGGAGCCCGTTCGTCCCGATCTCAATAAATTAT